ATCGTTCTTTTTAGATTTAGATTTCATATTTGATGACACACAGAAGACAGGCGTGAAATGGAAGCAATTCTGTGTTTCGTCTGATGAGTGTGGTGCCGAAGGCCTAATTTACGTCCCTTTCTGTATACCACCCTTTTCTTATAAGGAGAGGTTGGGAAGGGGAAGTGGATATGACAGTGGAGGAGATGCATAGGAAGGGGAAATATCATTTTTATGTGCGTCTCCTCCTCCGTCGTATAAGGGTAGGCAACGCATCTCCAATTGCGGATGTCTATGGGCAGCGGTCGCTTCGCTATTTTGGCGATTTCAGGTGGCCGCTTGATCGTTTGCCACCTTATGTTATAAAAAAAAACAAAAACATTGATAATTCTTCTTTATAATGTTAGTATAGACTATAATTTACTTTGTCAGAACAAACCTAATCAATAAGGGTTCATCAAATATTTCTAGTCGCAAAAAGAGTATAATTCCCAAAAACATATGTTAGTATATAAATTGCTTGTAATTGAGATGACAGTGGTGTACACTTATGTCAGAGAATTCAATTGGCCCTAATTCCGCGAGTCGTGCTGAGTCGTTAATCACTCGCCGGACAGAAGCGACCCCCGCCGGCTACTTGATGGCTAATTGTCACCGCCACATCTTCATAATAAATATGATAAATTCCCGACTCTATTATCACTTCAGAGATCAATTAAACATAACTTTGCCAGGTTAGGATAAGGCAAACCAGTTACAATATAGTTAAAAACATGTGCTCTTTCATATAATGTACGTTTAATCAGGAAATCTGATGAGGGAAGGTCATCACTAGTGGTGTATCTCTACCTATCTTACTAATATTATAAATGCGAAAGTTTAGATGCATGAATGTATGGATGTTAGAGTTTGTATCCTGAACGGCTGAACGGATCTCGATGATTTTGGCATAGATGTAGAATATGGTCTGGAAGAACACATAGGCTAATTAGTTTTTTTTTTTAATTCCACGCGATCGGAGTCGCGAGCGTAAGCCAGATACACATATTGGTAGCTAGTCATGACTTATTAATTCGTATTCTTGTCACATAGATAAGTAGAAAATCCGACAGCGGCATCTGAATTTTAAGTTCTCCCAGTTCCCTGACCCACACAAGTTAAGGGAACGAGAGTATCGTTTTTTATAACTTTTATTAAAAACACACTGTTTAATCGTACTCATGGCTGTAAACGCGATAGGTAGAGATTTTGAATTTATATTTGTCTATTTCATGTTTTTCATTTTTTCTACATTCATGGGTACGGGTTACGGGTGCTCCTTACACACTATAATACGTATAAAGTTATAAATTATATTAGTTACATTGCTTTTTTATGATAAATGAATTCCCAGTTTTTGTGTAGGCGACTAACAAAGTGTCACGTCGCTACAATGGACCTTAACAAATGGCGTGCAAGGTGAGGTTTGTTCAACGCTCTTGTCGCGTGTCGTGAGGCCTTAATGGACACCGTTTAACCTTTCTGTAAAAACATTACTAAGGATTATACATTTCTTCTATTTTTAATATGAAATCTTTTGTAATGTTATTTACCTTTTTGTTGAGAAATTTTGTCAACAATATTGTGTAGAATTATATTATGTAAATGAGTTAGCGATATCCTTATGCTTCCTTTACATTCCGTTAGTTTATTTTAAAATCGGATAAAAGCAACAAATAAAAACACAAAACTACTTTGTTGAAAGACGTGGATCTTATTTCTTTTTAATTAACTATGGTTAGCGCGTGTAGGTAATCCTCAGTTTCAGCCAGCCCCTGTCATCGGTCGTAACCTTTGTCCATGGCTTTTATAATGTTTGTATTAGCAATTTGCGGAACGCTACGTCGCACTAAAACACAAAAATATTATTTATAGGTCGGACGTCTTATTCACGGCACTAAAACTAAATTTACTGCGTATTTATTATCGCGGCTACCAGGCGTTACTTTTTTGTTATCGCCTGGGAATATCTCTTGTATAGACTTCGAAGATATTTTTTTGTATGTTAAGCAAATATATGAGAAATGCGTAGCAAAACCAGTAACTTTCAATTTTTGTAAAATACTTTTGGCAAAATGTCTTATCCCAATGTTTTAGAGGTTAAAAATCATACTTCATATTAGTTAATATTATAAATGCAAAAGTTTAGATGGAGGGATAGATGGATGGATGGATGTTTGTTAGAGTTCGTAGCCTAAATGGCTGAACGGATTTCGATGAAATTTGGTACAGACGTAGAGGGTAGTCTGGAAGAACACATAGGCTACTCACTTTTTTTTAATTCCACGCGGACGGAGTCTCGGGCAAAAGCTAGTACTTAATATATCATATAAAGCGATTTCCAATTAAAAAATAAGCTGTTAAAATAGATCGAGGCATCAAAGGGCCTTTGCTAGATTCTTCCATTTCTCTAATAATCATAGCACTTGTTATATTTCAGTACAGTAACAGGTAGACTTTATATAAAGCTAGAGTTTGCCGCATCTAGTTCGTCAAAGGAAAACTTTTAATAACGTCGCGTCGGTGACATTTGCAACTAAAACAAGTGAAAATGGGTTTCATCAATATTATCTCTCATATTTCTTATTTTCTATTCAAAACATTATAGTGAATAATTCATTCCTTTACGTGTTTTATCACTATAGATAAAGAATTAGTTAGGAGAGTGTTTTGTTTTATTTTGCGCTAGCTATAAACCTGACGACTTTACTGACGAAACAATAAATGTAGTTTATTTATTGCGCCTCTGCGTTTACACTACATTGACTACATCTATCATTATAATGGAATCACATCGTAACAGCATCATGTCAATTTTACCTTGAACAGCTTCCACGTGAAACACATTTATCGTGTGTACGTAAAAAAGCTCAGAATAGTACCATATTGAAGTGGGCATAGACAGGCATCGCTCAGCCATATCTGTTAGAGATAGTGTAGATAGCGTGGGACGCCCCTATCGGACCGAATGATCCGAGTTCGAACCATACCTAATGTCAATATAAACACGCCATGCGTGAAATATCAAGTAAACAACTATACTATTAACAAAAGGTCGTGACATATAAAAAAAGCTAAATTAAAACAATTTAACAATTGAATGCATCTAAACACTTATAACATTGAAAGTTTGTAGTTAAAAAAAGATATTTAAACTTCGTTAAGTTTACAAAGATTAAATTAACATAAATAAGTTATATCTTACGTTTGATTTATTTTATTTTCAGATTATAATGTGAATTGAAGAGGAAACGATGCCGTCTTCTGACACTCGACCGCCGGGTAAGTCGTTTATGTTAAAAACACACATTTACTGAAAAAATCTATATCCAGAGTATCGAGAAACTTATTTAAAAATTACTCGGTTTTAATCAGGCTGATATAAATATACTTTTTATGCTAAATTCAATAAGATTTGTTTGTTGTAAAAGTGACTGTCACAAAAACAAAATGTTTTAGCAAAAAAACATCCCAGATAAAGATTTTATGATATCTTTTATATGACATAGCATATTATAAAAAAAAAAATCTTACCCATGTAATTTCTGACAAAATACATTTAGCAAAATCACCTCCTGTAACAAACAATATCATAAACTATACTCGAAAACGTAACGTGAGAAAAGTTGTAATCTTTATTTCATGTTTAGTATTCCACAACTAAAATAAATGTAAATTTGCTTGTAAAAATAGGATCTCATGCAAATAATGCATTTCTTAATTTGGGTTTTCCACCGCATGTACACTTCCACGTGTAATTTTTAAGAAAGAGACTGAAATATTTTTTTAATTTGATTTATTATATTAATACTTATATGAATAAAAAACCAAAAGAAAACACTAATATAATATGTGTGAAATTGTTTATTTCGAATTGTTGTCAAATTTCAACAAATTGTTTATATTAAAAAAAAAAGTTATTGTTTTTTAAAACTTAGCATAAAGATTTCCACATAAGTTACGTTGTGAGTATATAGTTTCTTATGTTTTATGACAAGCAAGCAGAAGTAAATGTAATTCACAGCTACAGACGGTCGTTGGAATATTTATGAAATATTTTTCCAATACGTAGCCACAAACATCATAAGTCAATATCCTTACCATACTCTACATTAAATCAGTTGGTGTTTTAGATTGCCGTACAGATTAAATAAATTTTGACAATTTAGATATTGCTTTTATTTTTAAAACAATTAATTGTACAGCATAGCTTACTCGTATAATGACTGATTAGATGGGGATAAAATCTTTAGGTAGGTGAAAGGATTTC